CGCACGTCCCCAAAACCTGTATCGGTCCCCGAAGTGCGTACGCGAGCGGGCGAACCGTGCAGGTAGAAACTTCCGGCGCGCGAATCTGTCCAAACTTTCGAAGAGCCCAGCGCGCGTCCCCAGGTCCCTGTATCGGTCCCCAACCACGGCGCGTGATTTCTCGCAGGGCCCGCCCCCGCCGATCCCTACGGCCTCCCAAGTGTAAAGGGTCGGGTTTCGCTATGCCTTCCGGCGCGGACAGTTCCCGACACCGACGTGCCACCGGTTCCCCCTTGCCCACTGCCTGGGAGCGGTCCCGCTTGGCAACGCCCGGTTTCTGTTGGGCCGGTCACGGGAGACCTGCTTCTTCCTTTATAGTATTAGAGATACTACCTGGGAGCGGTCTCGCGTGGCGACGCCCGGTTTCTGTTGGGCCCGTCACGCGAGACCCACTTTTTCCTTTATAGTATTAGAGAAGAACGACAAGCAGACCACAGACCTTTTTTTTTTGTTTGTTTTTTGGCAATAACCCATGCCATATGTCTAGTAGAATGTCTGAGGGCCTACTTGGCCGCCCTCAGCCCAGGCCGAAACGGGGGAAAAAGACCCCACACTGAAATTCAGGGACTGGACGTGAGACAGTTGTTACATCTTCGACGCCACACGGGTCCTACCGGATCCGACTTAGGGCCAGAGGGACACAGTAGGGCCTAAAGGCCCAGACTTGGGGGTGCAGCAGGCCGAAAGGCCACATTTTTGGACCAGACCGACGGGCAGGCCCAAACGACATTCTCGTTTTGGGCCTGGCGGCGCTTTTGAGGCTGCCGCCCGCCGATCCGGCCTGAATCGTCAATCTTGACGGTTCAGATCACGGCCAGGCCTTGCAGCATTGAGGCCGGCCTCTTTTCCACCGATACTAAAGACCGGTGCAGCCTCATTGTGAGGCATCGAACACTGGGACGCTGTTCGAGCGCCAGTCGTATCGGTTCAGCAGCAGGAGCAGCGCCAGCGCTATTCTTAGCGCAGCATGGAGGGGCAGCAGCAGCGCAGCTAGCGCAGCAGCAGCGGCGAGCAAGGAGCCAGGCAGCATCCATCAGCAGCGCGGCAGCCATAGCCGCCTTCGACCTGCAGTCGGACACAGCCTAAGCAAGGTACCAGGAGGCGAGGGGTTCTTCTCCTCCCTCCACGGCCCCAGGCTCTCTCCTCCTCACCTCCTCCTCCTCTGCCATCTCTTCTCCTTCTTCTTCAGACTTTTTCTCCTTCTTCTTCTTCTTCTTCTTCTTCTTCAGACTCCATCTTCTTCTTCTTCAGACTGGAGACTTGATACTAGTTGGACAGATATCAGCGTTGGACTTCGGTGGTAAGAGGCTGTGGTACTTACCGGATTCGAGACTTGGAGATTGTTGGGGTTGATACTCGGCAGCATCACAGATTGGACACCGGTTATATTAGGACTCTGTATCTCCGACATTGGTGACTTATTGTCCACGACATTTTGATCTTGTTCGGTGACATTTTGGACTACCATATCGGTGACCTACTGGATTCTATCTCGGTGACATCTGGCNGGTGACTTATTGTCCACGACATTTTGATCTTGTTCGGTGACATTTTGGACTACCATATCGGTGACCTACTGGATTCTATCTCGGTGACATCTGGCACTACCTACATCTCCCACCTCCTTCGTCTCTCCTCCCACCTTCATCTGTGTATGCGTGTACAGGGCCTGAGCATCGTCTATGAATGGCTCAGACCCCACCATCTCATGATTGTTTGTGTGTGGAGTGATATCTGTGTGAGTCAGTCTATGTGAGTCAGTCCATTTATCAGACTTCGCTGCATACATGCTCATCCTATATTGGTTGATCTCTTGGTTCTGCCCATACTTGTGGAAGTATTCACAAGTATGCAACAGTTTTGGTATCGGAGCAGACCAAACGATGGATCTGCTCACCAGGTAAGTCTGATTTAGGAATAGATTGCTTCTTCGATCTTCCAAATCAGCTCTGTAATACTATCGAGATTCAAAGTTGCAAAATTCTGTTTTTCTTTTTTCGGTATTCTATTTAATTCGGCATTCCGTTTCAATTCGGTATCCGGACTTTCAATTCGGATTTCTGTTTTAAATCCGGTATTCTGTTTAATTCGGGTTCCGATAAATTGGTATTCTGGTTAATCCGATATTCTGTTTTAATTCGGATTTGTGATTCTAATTCGTTATCAGGGTTAAATCAGTATTCTGTTTAATTCGGCATTCTGATTTCAATTCGGTATTCCGTTTTTAAATTCGGCATTCTGTTTAAATCCTGTATTTCGTTTTTCTAAATCGGTATTTCCGTTTTATTTCGGTATTGGAAATTAGGTTTACGAGAAATTTCGGTTTTTGCTCAAATTGGGAAATTCGAAGGTTTTGGAACCGTAAAACCGGAAATTCTGCGGACTCGCGGAAAATTAGGGTTGGGATCCGAAATTTTCGCGATTTTTTTTTTCTTTCCCTAGTTTGAGAAATTCCGAAAACGGACTTAGGCCTTTAAAAATCGGATTTTGTGGGTGGAAATTCCCGAAATTTTACGTTTTTCGAAAATTCGAGTGTTTTTCTTCCTGATTTTCCGAAATTTTTTTTTGGCAAACGGTTCGGAATCGTTCCCTCAGAATTGCAACTTCCGGGTAGTTCACTAATCAACGGTGAACTCCCGGACCTCAGAAGATCTCAACGGATACCTAATCTGGTCACAATTTAAAATTCGGTAATTATCATTATTGCATTATTGTTTTATTGATTATTAAGAAATATTAATTCGTTATTAATCATTTAATTCAATTTTTATTGATTATTAATTCATTATTATTTCGAATTTTTAAGTTGTGTTGGGAAAATTTATCCTTTTCCTATTTGATTAGGTGTCTAAGTCCATCATTGGGACAGGGACTGTATGCGAATTGTTTGATTGTTCTACCCCTGTTCCCACCCTCCCTACCCTCCTCGTAATCTGTGACCATCGGGACTTCTAAAGTACCACATCAGCTTGTGCTGATGTGGACGGAACAGGACACCGGGCACTGCCACGACGCAGTGCCAGGCTCGCAGTTCGTAGCCGTTCTGTGGTACCTCCACTGTCTAAGTATCAGCAACAGCGACTCAGCAGGCGGACGACTCCAGCGGCATCAAGTACAGCTACGGCGGTACCCGTTACCACCGGGACTCTTCCCGCATGTCCGGTCCAAGGGGCCAGTGAGCCGTTGTCTGCTTACCTTCAGCGGCTACAGGCATTTACTGATGCCGTAGCTACTGCTAAGGCACAGCAGGAGGCAGCAGAGGCAGAACGTCAGCGGCTGGCCAATGAGGCGGCAGCCCAAACTCAGTGGACTGCTGAGGCTGACGCAGCGGCACGAGACAGACGGAATGCTGCCAGCACGGAGTCCCTGATTCAAAATGAGAATCAGTGGACAACGCTACTCCAAGGCATGATCGTTGTGCCTACGGACGCGCAGGCAGATCCGACACCGGCGGAGGCAGAGAGAAGTAACCTGGCTAACTTGATGTTGAGCGTGATGAGAGGAGTAATGTGGAACAACAAACTGCTGCAGGCACACCTGCTCACGGAACTACAGCACAGACAGAACCAGCAGCAAGACATTGTCGCGTTAACAGATGCTGTCCGCACCGCAGCAACACAACAGCAGCAACAGCATCAGCTGTTGAACTCCGCTCTCGCATGCATCAACAGCATTGAGGCCAAAACCTCAGCAGCGCCAGGCTGCACGACAGACACAGCGAAACAGCTCAACGAGCACATCGACCATGTCGTCAACCTCATCGGCGAACTAGGTGATTTCACTAGTCCGGCCACGATCAGCAGCACAGTGGCCGCCATCAAGACGGACCACCAAACTGCAGACAAGACCGGACGCCGCCACAAAGAACTACAAGATGCCGCACTTCAACATCAGCAAGTTTGATGACTACAACAGGACAGACGCCTTGACATGGTGGTAAGGTTTCCTCACGGAAGCATCCTGCCGCACTGTCCCGGCTGAAGACATGATGAAGGCGCTCTACCTCCAACTGATTGGAGGAGCGCAGGCATGGATGAATCATCTTGCGGCTACCAAGAAATGCACCATCGCCGAACTCCACACGCACATTACGTGGAAGGAGTTCGAGCAACTGTGGTTCACTCGCTTCATGGTCCGCAACGTCGTGAAGGCAGCCATGAACGAGGTTTACACGAGCTCACAAGGAAGCATGCCAACTCGAGACTGGACGATCGAGTGGCAGAAGATAGTGACCACGCCAGGCTTCGATTTGAGCTTTACAAACCAACGATCCGAGTGCTTCTCGCGATCGTGCGCAGGACTGCGAACCGCACTCGGCAACGAGTACGATTATGCCTCATTCCAGGCTATTCTGGATCGCACGAACCTGGTCATCCAAACGGATGACAAGGCCGCTAACGAACGGCAATCCCAGCCGCACTATGTGGCAAAGCAGGGCTATCAACGACCGACACACAGCAATGCCGTGATTTCTGAAGAAACAGTCGATCTCCACGCTGCAGCAGCATCCTCGAGTGATGGAGGAACTGTCGCAGCGCTCCCGCCGAAGCGTCTCAAGAGAGTTCGGAAGAACAAGGCGACACAAGCGACGACATCGACGGGAACTGGGCAGCAACCATGGACGGCGTTCAATATAACCAAGGAAGTATTTGATCTTCGACAACGGTACGGATATTGCCTTTGGTGCAATGGAGTCACTCACTTGACCGCACAATGCCCCGAAAAGGGCAAGGCACGTGTAGCCCGTCCCGCGAACTCGGGAAACTGAGTTGCGCAAGGAGAGAGGCGACATCTCTCCTCACTCCGCTGGAACCGGTTGCCTTGCTAGCAATCGATGTCACTACCGGGGAGCATGCGTTAGTCGCTGATTCTCGTGCTACGTACGAGGATTATGCCGCCCAGCTGGTACCACCATTACACCAGCCGAGCCACGTGCACTGAGATTGCGTATGCGCAGCCTGTACACCGTCGGCAAGTGATCCGGTCAACTCGTCACTGATTTCCGAGGACTCGACGGTGTGGTCAAGACTTGAGGAGCTTGACCCACTCACGAGAGAGGACTTCGCTTGGATGCCTCTACCCTCAACCGGAACCTTGCCAAGGCCGCATTGCAACGCCTTGATGGCAAATCTACGCTCCTATTTGCATGCTACAGTACCAGCTCCGTTGACGGACGACGGGGTAGCGGTTGTCGATCTCCGCTCCTATCTTGCGAAGATTGACCGCGAGTACGCCACCCAAAGGTACGCCGAAACCGACGCTCCTTTGCTCTATATCCGCATTCAAATCGGAAAGGCAACCTGTAGTGCCTTGATTGATTGCGGAGTGTTAGTCCCATGTACAGTCGTGACCCCTCACACTTCGGGTGGTTTCCGTTGCGAGAATTCGCGACGCCATAGCTCGGAATGACGTCGAGGAGATGGGCCTTGTATTCTTGCATGCTCTTCCCTCGCCGGACGGACCAGCCGCGTCACCGCCGGACCCACGCATTTCTCACCTCTTGGACGAGTATAGAGACGTCTTCGAGGTTCTCACCGGAACGGTTCCGGATCGGCCCATACGTCACGGGATCACTCTTGAGGCTGGTGCCGTCCCTCCGCGTGGATGTATTTACCGCATGAGCGACGAGGAACTCGAGGTGCTTCGCGCACAACTCGATGACCTTCTCGACAAGGGTTGGATTCGCCCTAGTTGTTCGCTTTACGGTGCCCCTGTTCTCTTCGTCTGGAAGAAGAACAAAGATCTACGGTTATGCATCGACTATCACAAACTTAACGCACAAACCGTAAAGAACGCCGGCCCTCTCCCTCGGATTGATGATCTCCTTGAGCAGTTAGGCAGCGCGACGTACTTCTCGAAGTTGGACTTGAAGTCGGGTTACCACCAGATTGAAATCCAGCCTCAAGATCGGTACAAAAACGCGTTCAAGATGAGGTACGGGCATTTTGAGTGGGTTGTCATGCCATTTGGCCTCACCAATGCCCCCGCGACTTTCCAAGCAGCTATGACGACTGAGTTTCACGACTTGCTCGATTGCAGCGTCCTCATCTACCTCGATGACATCTTGGTTTATAGTAGGACAGTGGACGAGCACATCGTACACCTTCGCACTGTTTTAGATCGGTTGCGACTGGCCAAGTACAAAGCGAATCTCGACAAGTGCGAGTTCGCCAAGTAGGAGCTTGAGTACTTGGGTCACTATGTCACGTCGAAAGGCATTCGTCCCTCAGCGGACAAGATACAAGCCATCGTGGATTGGCCGGAACCCCGTTGCACGACGGACGTACACTCTTTCATGGGTTTGGCTGGATATTATCAGCGATTCGTCAAGTCATACTCGAAAGTGGCCGCTCCTTTGTCGAGACTTCAGTCCCCGAAGGTGCCCTTCGAGTTCGACGAYGCAGCCCGTGGCGCGTTCACTACGTTGAAGGCAGCAATGCAAGCCGCACCTGCCCTCCGTATATACGACCCCACCCTTCCCACCCAAGTGACTACGGACGCTTCGGGATACGGTATTGGTGCGGTGTTGGAACAGTGTCACGAGGACGGTTGGCATCCGGTCGAGTACTTCTCCCAAAAGGTGCCTCTCGTCAACACTCTCGACGACGCTAGGAAGAAAGAGCTACTCGCGTTCGTCACCGTTCTCAAACGGTGGCGCCACTTTCTTCTCGGCCGTGGGCGTTTTAAATGGAACACGGACAACAATCCGTTGACCTTTTATAAAACGCAGGATACAGTCACTAGCACGATCGGTCGATGGATGTATTACACCGACCAGTTCGACTTTGACCCGTGTCACATTCCCGGTCCCGCCAATCGAGCTGCGGACGCCCTCTCACGACGGCCCGATTTTGTGCTATTGTGACCACGGCATTCGACCTCGATGACGATCTGCAGCCGCATTTCGTCAAAGGCTACAAGTCCRATCCGACTTACTCTACGCTTTACGCAGAGCTTTCATCGGATCACCCGCCGGCCAGCCACTATCGGATTTCCGGCGGGTTCCTTCTCCTTCACACGAGAGGAAAGGACTTGTTAGTTGTGCCCCAAGATCGCATCTTACTGACTCGTCTTCTCGGCAAATTCCACGACGCATGACTTCCGGCACACCTTGGCGTAAACCGCACATTAGCACGCCTCCGCCAACGTTTTCACTGGCCCGACGTCCTTCATGACATCACGAGGTACATTGAGTCATGTGCAGTTTGCCACCGTAACAAGGTTCGATCTCGAATCCCCTTCGGCGAACTGAAACTGTTGCCGATTCCTCGGGCACCACGCCTCTCCATTGCTATGGACGTGACAGGCCCGTTTCCCCGCGATCGCCTCGGCCATGACAGTATTCTCACAGTCGTTGACCGTTTAAGTAAGCATCCTCGCTTCCTTCCTTGCAAGTATCATGCTGTAGCGCCTGAGCTCGCACGACTCTTGCACACCGGTTGGATTACCAACCAGGGTGTTCCAGAAGACATAGTGAGCGACCGAGATACTCGCTTCATGTCGGCCTTTTGGACTTCCCTTATGGCTGAGTCCGGCACGACAATGAAGCCGAGCTCGGCTCGGCACCGGCAGACGGATGGCCAGACGGAGCGAGCACACCAGACTGCTCAGATGATGTTGCGTACGCTCATCCGTCCCGACCAGAAAGATTGGGTTGACCGGCTTCCCGACATCGAGTTCGCCTATAACACTTCGGTGCACCCGGCGATCTGCGTCATACCATTCGAGTTGCATCATGGTGGAGAGAAAGCACGGATCTTTGCTGATCTCCTTCTGTCACAGGCCGCCGACATAGACGTCCCTTGCTCTCCCGCTTCCGTCCGGAAGTACCGGGACTTGCTGATCAAAGCCCGTGCAAATATGCAAAAGGCTCAGATCCGCATGCAGCAGCAGGCTAACCGACGTCGACTTCCATGTCCTTTCCGCGAGGGAGACCTTGTTTGGGTCCTCTCCGAGGAATTTGCGCTCGAGCAGGACGTTTCGTGCAAACTCCTTCCGAAATGGTTCGGACCATGGGAAGTCGCTTCTGCCGTTGGAGACGACCCCGCAGGTCCTTCCTTCGTGATCAACATTCCACCGCACCTTCCAGTGCACCGGGTCTTCCACGCGTCGAAGCTGGCCATCTACACGCCACCTTCCGCTGACGAGTTTCCCGGCCGACGATCACAAGATCGGCCATCTATGGACGGACATCAGGAAGTAGACCGAGTCATCACGCACCGCAAGTATGGCAACAAGGCAATGCAGTTCAAAGTCACATTCAAGCAATGTGCGCCTGACGACACTCGGTGGATCTCTAGTGCAGACTTGCAGACTTCTGCACCCCTTATCTTCGCCGACTATGAGAAGCGACGCCTTGCCAAGGAAGCAGCTCGTTCCGCCCGACCCACCCCGGTATCGGACAGACAACTCCGCCCTCGCAGGTAGCTCGGTTTTTTAAGAGGGGGAGTGTGTTACATCTTCGACGCCACACGGGTCCTACCGGACCCGACTTAGGGCCAGAGGGACACAGTAGGGCCTAAAGGCCCAGACTTGGGGGTGCAGCAGGCCGAAAGGCCACATTTTTGGACCAGACCGACGGG